GCCACTAGGGGCTCGCTACTAGGAGCAAGGATGCCACTATAGGGGCTCCTGGCATCGCTACTAGGAGCAAGGACGCCACTAGGGGCTCGCTACTAGGAGCAAGGACGCCACTATAGGGGCTCCTGGCATCGCTACTAGGAGCAAGGATGCCACTATAGGGGCTCCTGGCATTGCTACTAGGAGCAAGGACGCCACTAGGGGCTCGCTACTAGGAGCAAGGACGCCACTAGGGGCTCCTGGCATCGCTACTAGGACCAAGAAACATGTGTATTAGACATCCGGAGGCCCCCAGTTCCGACCCGTCGACCCCGCGACCAGGGCGACCAGGGCGAAGGTTCGGGGCTCTCCGTCGACTGACGCGTTTGCACCTCCCACTCTCCCGCTTGGGGGGCCAGTAGGTTGGAGGCCATTACTATTAGAAACCAAGAAAAATTGCCCTTCACGCGGACCCACGGTTCTGGGGCTGAAGAAGACCCGCCTTCAGCGTGCCGACGCGCCGAAAAGCCGAAGACCTGCCAAAGACACACGGAGGAGTCTTTGGACTCTTTCCGCTTTGGACTCTTTGGACTCTGGTGGTTTTGCCAGGTTGATGGAAGATGGACGATTTCAGGAGCTCAGCTTGCCGCCCTTGGAGATGAAGGCGCGGAGGGACGGTGACGGGAGGTCCCGTCCCCGCAACGGGAAGGTCTTGGCATTGGGGCTCGGTCCCATGGGTTCTTGGTGTGGGTGCATCGCTTTGGGTCTCACTGGACGCAAAGATCTCTGTTCGACTTCGATGGAGAAGTCGATGACTTGTGAGGGACCGAAGGGTCTCTGTTCGACACATCGTGCATCTCAGAGGTCGAGACCGAAGAAGAGCTGGATGCTTGGGTGTCCCTTCTGGCGGAGAAGTGCCCCAGCTGCAGGTGTTGTGTGTTGGGACCACAGGTGTCGTAGCTCGACTTCCTGTTTGGCAACCGAGCTGTGTTCGAAGTCGGATGAGCTAAAGGAACGGATGACCATGGCACCCCACGGCGTGAGCTAAGTCTGAAGAGATAGCGGATGATGTGGTGTGATGATGTGGGATGTCGGATGATGTGCCTCTGACTAAAGGCTCATCTCCATGATTCTATTTGTTTCCCTTCTCAGTGGTTTTAGGGTCGCATACTTTGCAGACTCGAGTCGCCTGCGTTTTTTGGACAGTCGGGCGTTCCCTTACAAGGGAGTCGACGAACAGGTCGGTCGCCTTCGACACCCGTCTTGGTCGCCGCAGCCTTCGACGCCGAAAACGTCGCTGAAAGTCTCCACCTTTTGGGATCGAAGACGGTTAGCACTTAGAGCTGAGCTTGACGGTTCCGGAGACTGGCGGAGTTTGAGACAGAAGCAACTACATTACATATATGCATATATATAATATTTTTATACACATACCCAATTCATCCAAATTCTCGTGGTTTTTGGCACCCTTTGCCATCTTCCGCTCTTTCCCTGTTTCGCTTCTCTCGCCGGCCGTTCCGAACCGGGCGCCGGCTTCGCATGGCACAGACATGGCGAAGCATCGCATGGTGTCCATCTCTCCGTGTCCGGCCGGTTTCCAGGAATAACATCAAGCTCAAGGATGGGAAGCATGCCATTACCTTGGCCTAAAGAAAGGCCGAGCTTGAGAAGTTGGGAGTGACCCATGGGTGACCTTTGTAGGGTTTCTTTTCTAGTCTGAATTTGCCAAAGTCCTTATCACAGGGATGATGTCCTGGACGCGTGATGGAAGGGATAAGTGGTCACCCCCTGAGCAACAAGTTTCACCTGCGGTGAGTTTCACTGCGCATGGGGCTGGTGACAAGGGTGTTTTGCAGCTTCAATCGGATGCTCACCGGAAGTCGGCAAGGCACAAGAGGCACAAGGACTTTGTTGAAAAAACTCGTACGGGATTTTGGTCTTCCAATGGTTCATTCCTTTTGGCACGATGGCGCAACAAGGGCTGTCCCGGAAAGAAGAAGGTGAGACAGAAGTTTTTGTTCTGATCACTCTCTGGATTGACACCCGCGAGAAGTTGCAAAATGCCTTGCCCATAGCTAGGACATCAAGTTCTGTTTGCAGCAGAACCAAAGCTTTGCACTTCGGTGTCGAAGGTGTGAACCACCCCGAATTTCTTCGCCAACTTTCTGAAGGCCTCAAGACATACCTTGAAAGCACAGTCTTTATATTCAGATTCATTATCAGGGCAGAACATGGTAGCCGACACCGCTGGCCTGCAGAAGTCAGGGCTCGCTGAGCTGTGCTGGCAGGAATATGGGCTTTCTCTGAAACTCTAAGCGTATTGGTATTGGTTCAAAACAGAAGATCCCATCCAACCACGAACATCGAGATCATGGGACTTCAACCATCGTCGACGCTTTTGATCCAACGAACTCCCGGTCCCAACGCATGATGTTGAGAAAGCTCCCGACAAAAGAGAGGTTCTGCATGTCTCAAACCCAGACGTGACAGGCACATTCTCGTGCTCGTGCGCCAGGGTGAAACAGACGCGCGAGCGCGGTGGGTGTCCATTGATCAGGGAGATGGCAGAAGGAGCCACCCGGAGCAATCTGGAGCAGCTGAAGGGTGTCAGTGAGCTCATCAACCAAGCTGCAAACGTACGGAAGTGTGTGGGGTGGATGATTTTGATGATTTTGACAGCCCTTTCTCGCGTTTTTTTCCGACAGTTTTGGGGCGGAATCCGTAGGACATGCAGAGCAGTCAAGCCTTGTCAAGCACTCCATGGAAGCTTTTGCGCTTGCCCAGAGAAGATTGGTGTTCTCGCTGCCAGCTTTGCCAATTAGCTTAGAAAGACAAGCGGCTTGACAAGCGTAGACTTTCATCCAACTTACACATGCCCTTTCTTCTTTCACTGGTTGAAAGGATCTCCCAAACATGGACGAGGACATGAAGACATGTTTTGCCCTTGTTTCTTCCAGCTGCAAACCTAACAAGCCCCCAAATTGGAGACATGCTGAGCGCACACACACACACACACACTTACCGCGAATATATATATATATACACATGATTACATACACTATAAACGCATGTACATAAAACATATTATTGTTATTATTGTTATAATTATATATATATATATATTTGTACAACATGAATATTATGATTTCATTTCTCATCACTGACCACAGGTTTCTAACTCAGATGCAGGTGCCAAGGCCAAGCCTTTCAACTCAGAAATTGCACTGCTTGAGCTCCGTTAGAAGCATGGAGATGTCAGAGAGTGACGTCGCTGCACTGCTAGAGGCTGCACGGGACTCTTTCATGCTTTACTTGCATTGTCTCCATTTCTTTATTGTCATCTACGCACGTGTATACGGGGGGTTTAATTGATCAAGAATCTACATTAGGTGAGCACTCCCATCTGCTAAACCGCGTAATCTTTTTTCCTTCTCAGAAACCCTTTTGTTCGCAAACGCCGTTTGGAGCTACCAAGTTGAAGAGGACCAGCATAGAACATAGTCTTTAAGCGATCCCAAAGGGCATTTCCTTGACGTGCTTCATGCCGGCCAGCGACTCGTAGTATTGTCATTTTTTTGCTATTCAAGGCATAAATA